TGGATTAGTAATTATTTTCTTCAGTTGCCCTTCATTTTCTTAGTCATTTTGAACTAAAAAAATTAGAATATAATTAGCAAAATGAATCAGTAATTATTTTCTTCCAGTTGCCCTTCACAAATGCATCAGAATCCACACTCACACTACTTATGAACAAATGGAATTATTGATAGAACCTCAAAAATGGAACAAATTCAGAACAAACGAAATGGAACAAATTCAAAAATTCTTAAAGAAATCATGAAAAAAGAAAAATAGACAAAAAATTTTAAACAAACAAAAGTTTTTAAATAGACAAAAGTTTTGTTTAAGAATTCTTAAACAAAAGTTTTTTCTTTGAATTCAATGACGCAACCTAAGCCTAAATACTCTATTTGCTAATACACTCTTTTCAGGTACTCCACTTTTACATTCCAATTGTTAACCCTAGATACTCCCCTTTCACATAGAACCCAACCTTAGATACTCTGTTCGAAACCCAAAAACGCAATGAAAGCCTATTTGCAACCCAAAAGCAGCAAACAGAGTATGTTCATAACCCAAGCTGAGATAGACAAAGACAGAAAAGAGCCTCCAAATCGCACCCAAACAAAGACAGAGAACGATAGACAGAGACAGAGACAAAGAGATAGAGAGATAGACATACACAGAAAGAGAGAGAGAGGGAATACCTGGGAGGTCGTGGCTGAGCGATGAAAGTCTAAGTTATGGAGGCCTGAGCAATGGAAGTCTGAGCGACGATGGAGGGAAGAAGAGTGAGGTGCTCAGTCAGTTAGACGATAGGGTTAGGCAATTAGAATTTTTTTAGTTTATATATATATGATCAATGCGGATAAGGTAATGTAGGAATGCAGAAATTAATGGGTATTTCACATTTCTATTCGCGGCTTGCTGTTCAATGGAGTTGGATAGGGTTAGCGTAGAGTAAGAAATTGCGACTAATCGAAATTTTGAACACTCTTGCAAGTTTGTGTCAAGTTGTTGACTACTTCCTCGAGTTTAGCGATTAACCACCTTATCTTGTGATGGTCTAGAACATGTCCCACTAAAATTTACTCAACGGATAGATAATTCACATCGTTACCGTTGGAAAACAACACTCCCGACACATACGCCCACACATTTACCAAAATTTTAAAATTGTAAGAGGTTGAAAAGTTTTTTGACATGTTATATCATATGCATCTCAATGTTCGTATTGCACATAAACTAGGCCCACTTCACTTCTGCCTGGATGATATCCAACAAGGGAAATTGAGGGTTTGTACATTTTTAAAAACTTATTTGAGAGATAATTTTTTTTATTTTATTAATGTTCCGTTTGGTACGATAAAAAAAAATAGAAGAATAGAACGTTAAAGAGATAGATAAAATATTATATTTGATAAGAAAATAAAGTAAGAAATGATGAAAAAGTTGATGAATTAAATTTCCTTCTAACTCACTAAAATTAATTCCTCTAAAATTAAAAAGAAAGTGGATGAAAAATTAATTATTTTTATTGAAAATGTATCTTATTTATCTATTATCCTTTGAAATATATATATATATATACACACACATTAATTTCATATATAAATATAATAACAAAATATGTATTTACACCTTTTTAAAAAAATTAAAAATAAATAATAATTAATTAAAATTAAAAAATATTTTTCCATCTTACCAAGCAAAAAAAAAAATTAATCATTTTTATTTTTCATTTATCCTACTAAACATAAAAGAAGAAAAATGTATTATTCTTATTTTCCTTCTTTGGAGGATAAAAAATGTATTTTTCTTACTTTTCATCCCTCCTACCGAACAGAGTAAAAGTTTAATAATACATAATTGTTATTAGGTCTACAATTTAGTTTATCTTTTTTGTGTATTACTTATTTATTCTTCTTTAAATAATGCATAACTAATTGGTAATTTATTTTCTAATCAAATATGTAAAAGTTTGATTAGATTTTTTCATTTGTTTGAATTTTGAATATTTATTCTTATTCTATCAACACTCTCTCTATTTTCTTTCACCGTTACTCTCTTTCCCTATTTTCTCTCACCGTTACTCTCTCTCCCTATTTTCTCTCTTACCGTTATTCTCTCACTCTATCTCTCCCTGTGTTCTCTCTCAAACTCTTTCTCTCTCCCCTGTATATTCAAGGCACCGTTATGCTCTCTACATATTTTTTTCTCTCTCCCTCTTAATCCAAAGTCGGCATTCTTAAACATCTTTGTATTGGTGCTCTAAAAGAGATACAAAAAAGAGATACATCAAAGAGTTACACCGACGAGTCATACCAAAGAGTTGCACCAAAAAGTTAAACCACCTATTCACCATCCAATGGCATTAAAAAAATACATCGATGAGATACATTGACAAGTTTTCACCATCCCGTGACACCAACAAGATACATTAAAGAGATAAAACAAAAAGTTACACCATACAAGAACACCAAAGGATAAAATCATATAGTTGCAACATTCATTTATACCAAAGATATACAACAACGAGATATACCAAAGAGATGCATTATACAGTTGTTGATATTACAATTTAGTGAAAAATTTGCAGATTATTCCGACGACGATAAGAATGTGAAACTCAAATTCGCCGGAGATTTTTTTGGGTGATCTTCTTTCTCCAAAAAAATTATCGATTTGGTCTTCAATAGATATCAAATCCATTTTTTTTTACAGATATGGAACATCGATATGGTGTTTCAAATTTCAAAAACCGCCTATTTATTTGGTCTTGTTTGTCAAAGTTGTGTTTAAAGTGATAGAAAATACAGTTGGTTTTGAAAAAATTATGGGTCTATTTAGTTTGCGTCTCAAAAAAAAAATATCTGAAATTATTTTTGGGAAAAGTTCTAAAAAAGTTTGTTTGATATTTTCTGAGACGGAGAACTTATTTGGTTAGATGATTCTAAAAATAATTTTACAAACCAAAAAACAGTAAAATATGTTTGAACAGAAATTCAAAAATTAAAAAAAAAAATGGGAAAGTACCCTCCCTTTAGTCCCTCATCTCTCTTGTTTAGTCCTTTGGTTCAGTCCCTTATCTCCTCTCTCTCTCTCTCTCTCTCTCTCTCAATCCCTTTAGATCTATTAGTCTATTTATAATACAGATCTAAATATGTTGATTGCTGATTTGTTGGTGAATTTGTGTTTGATTTGTTGTTGATCAGTCGATCTCTCTCTCTCTCTCTCTTTTTTTTTTTTGATCCAACACTAACCACAAACTCTAATAGAGTAAAGGTCAGTGAAGACATTATATATTACTCACACCCAAAGGCTATCCGATGTGGGACCTCTAGATCTATATATAATACATATTTGTGTGTGTGTGTGTGTGTATATATATATATATATATTATTTAGATTGACAATTTCATAAAAAAATTCAATAAATCAAACTTTAAAATTAACCAAACACCCCAAAACAAGCCCAATTTGTTTTCTAAAATTAGATCTCATTTTTCACTTTTTTTTTGAAAATTTGGAGAATGAAAACTCTAAACAAACAAGTTTTGTTTTGTTTTTAGTGTTTTGAGAACAAAAGATAATTTTTGAAATACTCTCTAAACAGGCCCTAGATTTTGCAAGGTTTGATTTTAATGGATGACTTTTTGTCTTTTTCCAAATAAATGTACTCTTACCAAAAAAATTCAATAATATAATATTGACTAAATTTTAGGACCAAATTAAGAGTCCAAATGACATGGTTGTTTGACTTAGGTTTATTTATTTTGTGTCATGTCATTAGAATTTTTAATTTGATCCCAAAATATGATCAACATAACATTACTGAAAAAAAAAATAGTATTACACGTCCTTTCAAATAAGTCTATAATTTTGTACCGACTTCTGTTTTTTCCATCCAACTATTTAAGTGGACACCAAATCAGATTCCACGTTATGCATCAAGATTATTTGAAGTGGATGAGCCACAATATATGATAATTTGATGTATATCGATGAATTTAATTTAACTTTGAGTAAACAAAAATAATAAAACTGGGGTACTGTAGCATTACCTCACATTGTTGTTAGTAAGATGAGTTAAAATATGACACGATTTTAACATAATACAAAATTAGAAGATTTGGATCTCCTTAAAACACTTGTTTCGTAAATGAATGGACTCGATTCAACAAGATTAATAAACGAATTGAGTATAATGAAACTAATTTAACTCATTTAAATATTTAATACACAATTTATACACGATATTAACTCAATACGACACAATTCATTAAAGACAAATTAATAAATAAATCAAGTATAGATAAACTATTTTTTGACACAAAGTCGTTAAAACAGAACATGAATTTGTCTTACCTGACATAATTCACAGGCATAGTTGTTATGTTCCATTTGGTACGATGGAAAAAATGAAAGGTTGAAAAATTAGAGGGATAAATAAAACATCATATTTAGTAAGGAAAGAAAATAAGAAGGATGAAAAAGTAAATGAATTAACTTTCCTTCCAAAAGTGAAAAAAAAGTGGATAAAAAATTAATTATTTGCATTAAAATATATCTTATTTGTCTATATATTTTTTGATATATACATATATTATATTTACATTAATTTCATACATAAATAAAATGATAAAATATGTAATTGTACTTTCTAAATTTTTTTTTAAAAAAATTAAAATTAATTTTTTTTTTATCTTACCAAGTACAAAAAAAGTTAATTATTTTTATTTTTGATCTATCCTACCAAACACAAAGAAAAAAAAATGTATTATTTATATATATTTTTTAAATAATAAAAAATATATCTCTAATATTTTTTATACTTCTTACTTTTCATCTTTTGTAGCTAACCTAATAGATAATATAAGCAAAGATTGTATGCTTCAAGATAAAACTGACTCAGTTAAAGAAAAAGATAAAACTGACTTGCCCACCACGTAAGACCAAGAATGGTAGTAAGTAAGTAATTAGAACTAGTACAACTTTGTTCAAAGAATCAAAAAGGTAAACGCCTCGAAGGTTCAGCCAACGAGTCATCCCTGCTGTCACCAACCATTGTCATTTGTCCACCCTCTCGACTCGCACTACAAAAGGCCTCCCCCATTCTCTCCTTCCCAAGTCACAAGACAACCAATTCTTCTCAATATCCCTTTGACATCTTCATTACACTACTGTTTGCTCTCTTCTTTAGTTCTCAGAGATTAACCATTGTCATATATCAACTGAATTGAAAATGTGTGGCGGTGCAATCCTCTCCAACATCATCCCTCGCAATCGTAGCGGCAAGCTCTGGCCTAACTCTGCCGATTTCTGGCCCAGCTCTCCGTTCACTAAACCCAACACTTGCATATCCGAATCCAATCAGGCCAACCAAAAAGATTCATTCGCACCCAAAAGAGCTCAGCCCCACACAGGTAATCCACTTCCTCTTACGCCACTTATTCTTCCATTTCTCCCCATGTTTCAAGGTTTCGGTTTCTCACTGAGGAATTTATACAAATAGGTGATGGGCTTGCGGAAAATTCTGCTAAGAGACAGAGAAAGAACTTGTACAGGGGAATAAGGCAGCGTCCGTGGGGAAAATGGGCAGCTGAGATTCGAGACCCAAGAAAAGGCGTGAGGGTTTGGCTGGGCACCTTCAACACGGCCGAAGAAGCAGCCAGAGCCTACGACAGGGAAGCTCGCAAGATCAGGGGGAAAAAAGCCAAGGTTAACTTCCCCAATGAAAACGACCATTACAACCCTATACAGCCTCATCAGCTAAACCACACCCCTCGTTCACATCAACAGTTCAATGGCTTCATTTCAAATCTCAACCCTTCCGGTCCATATCCATGCAATAATAAGGGGTTTTATTCTCTGAATAGTGAGCCTGTTGTGAATTTTCCAAGTGAAGAGGCTTCTGGGTTTGGTTCAGAGAATGGATACGGTCATCAGAATGAAAGCGATGAATTCATTGGTCAAATGAAGGTGAAGGAAGAGGAGGACAAGTTAGAGGTGAGAGAAAATAAAGAGGCGGTGATTGAAGTGGAAGCAGAGAATGAGGTCCAGAAGATGAGTGAAGAATTAATGGCCTATGAGTCCTACATGAAGTTCTACCAGATTCCGTACCTTGACGGTCAGTCCCCGACAGCGCCGCCGATTCCGGTCCCGGAGAGCGTCCTCGGCTGTGGTTCGGTGGACCTCTGGAGTTTCGACGATGTCGGTTCTCAGACCGCCTAAGCTGTTCTCTAAAGGCCTTCTATTTCTTTTTTTTATTATTATTATTATTTTATTTTTCTATAACTGTTTGGGACAGCTTTTTGTTAACAATTGCAATATTCTTATGTTCTTGTTATCGTTTCTCATTGTATTCACCTGACGATTCTGTTTGCTTTGCTTGGGAAACATGATTCAATTGGCCTGCTTCTCGTGCTGTGAATTTTACAATATTTCCATGAAACAGCTCCATTAAAAGGAAATTCTATAATGGCTACCTAAACATATCTATCTGTTCTCTGTTTTTTTTTTTTTTTTTTTAATTTTGGGTCCATTAGGAAAGGGAATGAGGGTTAGCGAGCCCTTCTACCAAAAGAGATACGTACATGCTAAATTCATGTTCAACAGACTCCCAACTCGAGTGGGAGGAGACGACCAAATTCGAAAACCGTTGTACTCCGATATATGCTAACTTGTCAGCACAAAGGCTATACTGTTTTATAATATTTGTTTATCGGCACTATAAATTAAGCAATTCTTGATTATTTGGTCTACTAATTGCACCAAAAAAAAAAACCAAAGAATCCCTTAATTTTGTATGTTATAAGGGAAACAATCATCTACTTGTTACATACATAGAGATCCTTTAAAATTCCTCCAATAATAATATTATTAAAATCCCTAAATCATGCTGCTGCTATTTAGCTCCCACATAATTTTTTTAAATCTAATTTATTATAACAATTGGATTAGCAATTTGTCTTGATCCAATAATAAAAAAATTTGTTTTTTTTTTGAGTTCAACGATAAGATATATCTAAATTAATTTATACACATTTCAATTAATCTTCTATCTGATCCGAGATTTAAAAATAGGTCGTTCACGTTAAGATTATAATATTCATAAAAATATACTTAAATTATTCATTAGAATTAATAAATAAAAATAAAAACTGTTCATTAAAAGTGGATAGGATCAAACTCAATAAATGTGGAACAGTCTGTGAGACGAAAAGGCAAGTAACGTGTGTTAGGTAGTTGGTGGCACACAAAAACACTTGACAAACCCAAAATTGCAAACTTGCACCGAGTTGATGTGCAAATTCCACTTGCGCGGCGCCGCTGGTTTTTGATTGTGTACTACACACTACTTGTCTACCACTCCTTTACAATTTTGCATTACAACACCAAGGGCGCCCACAACTTTAGTACTACCAAATTGTACTTTATCTAGTTCGTACCCATGTACTATGTATGTACTACCTTTCCTATCGACCACGTTCCTCGTGTTTATAATCCACTATTGTTATTTTCTTTCACGGAGTAATCTACGATACCCCCCAAAAAAAAAAAAAAAAAAATTCATTACTTTACTACCATTAACATGTTAGGATCAATTACAATTATCATAAAAATGATAAACGAATCAATAAAAATTTAAAAAAATATCTATAATTAGGATCGATTGTAAGAGCATCTCAAATGTTTACTTAAATTTGACTTAATATTTAAGTAAAAAATTTAATTTGATACAAGACACTCTAATGAATAAATTTAAATTTAAAGAAGGATAAACTCAAATTTAAAAGAATGTGAAATATAATCATTGAATCTTTTAAAAGAGTGAAATCTGATAATTGAAAATTTAAATAGATATTTGAGTTTATTTTAATTTGAGTAAAAAATTGAGTTTTTCTTTATTTGATACACGTTGGAGTCAAACCTTGAAGCTTGGTTTTAATTCATTTTTACTCAAATTTAAATTTGAGTAAGGAGTATAATGGACCTAAATATCACAAAAATAATAAAAATCGTTACCACAACAGTTATAAAAACACCTATAAAAATTGTCAATTTTTTTGTTGTTAATTGACCTGTACAAGTTATAAAAACACTCATTAAAATTATAAAAATTGGAAGTAAGGGTGCTAATCGCGACGACTTACTCAAATTCGGCTCAAATAAAAATCAGCACGAGCTCGACTTGTGTTCTAAACTTGGATCGAACTCGGCTAGTGTTCTAAACTCAGCTCAAGCTCGTAAAATTCAACTCGTTTATATGCAAAATAGTAGAGTTACTCAGATTTGGCTCGAGTTCGGCTCGAGCTTGAGTTCTAAACGAATCAAGTTTGAACAATTTTTCAGATTCATTTAACAAAATAAACTTACAAAACTCGTCTCAATTAACACTTTTATTTAAAAGTACAATATCAAAATTCTATTTTTGGTACCGTAATCTTCTCCTACATTCAATATCTACACCACATTCATCATTTACCATAGTTGGTCTTTGTGCATTCGTTATTTGATGGTGATAAATATGTTATATCATCTAATACTAATACAAGAATGAAGTATAAAAATTAGTAATTAGCAATACTCATTTTTTGCGGCTGACAATGAATCATACTGTATTTAGAAAGTTGATGTCGTGTTAAACCTATTTACCTAATGAGCCTAACAGACTCATTCACTTACTTCTGCAACTTGTTAATATTAACTTAGAATCCTCTAATTTCGTTTTAATTTATTATCGAATTAACAGATGGTGCTTTGAATTAGCAAGGTTAGTGTTTTCAATCTACTAGGATCCAAAAATCTAGTAGTACAAGTGGTAGATTTTCTCATAACAGCCACTAATATCAAGCCACGTGAGCAGTGTCTAAGAGAGGAAAGATCCAATAGCCCAGCCCATTTAGGCCCATAATTTTTTGGGGTCAAGCCCAGCATATTGAGTAAGCCTGTTATGGTGTTAAGAATCATTGGCTTTTGTTTGAGCCCGCCACACCCTTTGTTCTCGGGTCTGCCAGGTAAATTATTGGGCTAGGCCCAATATCAAAATAGCAAAGGGCTGTTCATTTAAAGTTATGGCTGAAGTCCCACATCGGAGTTGGCAATTATGCTACCCGACCCGGAAGACAGTGAACCATTCTCCTTCAAAACCCTAGCGCAGTCGTGATGCAATAGTGATATAAAAGCTCACCTTCAACGCGCTCGTCTTCCCTTTCATTTTTGGCTGCGAGAAGAGAGTTGAGAGAGAGAGAGAAACAGAAGCGGAGAGAGAAACAGAAGGGGCAGAGATATGGTGTCTCTGAAGCTACAGAAAAGGCTCGCCGCCAGCGTGCTCAAGTGCGGGAGAGGCAAGGTCTGGCTCGATCCCAATGAAGGCAACGAAATCTCCATGGCCAACTCTCGTACGTTACTCTCTCTCTCTCTCTCTCTCCATGTGTGTTTGTGTGTATATGTACCTATGTCTATTATGTGTTTTATTTCTTGTGTATATGAGAAGTATTACTATGTATTTTCTTTAGTGTATCGTTTTATACATCTTGGAGATCTGATTATAGTCTGATTGATTTGTTCCACAAAACCCTAGAAAGTTGTATAGATTCTTTAGTTATGTTCATATTAAAGAAATTTTATATGAGGTATACACAGTAATTCCGTCTAAAATCTAATTGTAAATCTGTTATAATATGGCATTTAACGCGCGCATGTATTCAAACAAATATCGACTCAAGAAGAATGAAATTGAATTTGTATTGAGAGTTCCAATTGATTGCTTTACACTAGAAGAGTGTGCAGACCGAGTGGTGATGAGACTATAGCAGTTTACTAATTTATAATTACTGATGTAGTTTCTTATATGTGTCATTTTGTGGATAATTTCCGTTTATTTTGCCTCCGTAGAAGGTGATGGTGATTATTTGATATATTTTGGAGATTTCAACCTGAAATAAGGAAAAAACCAGTTAAAAAGTTAAAATCAGCAAATAGGTGGAGTGTGTGTTTGATCCATGAACCTGTAAGTTTCAAAAGGTCTCAGGTTGTAAACTTTGATAATAGTTTCAAAAGGACTGAAGTTGTGCTGAACATGTTAATACTATATCTGGTTTTCTATTGTTTATGGCATTAGGTTGTTTTTATTCCAAGCTGGCTGCAACATATGCACAATTTTGCAGCAGCACTACGAATGTTAAATGTTCTGTGAGCATAACTACATTACCTTTGTGATTGCAGTGTATGCTCCATCTAATGCTATGTTATAATGCTATATAATTGTTTATTTTGTTTTGTGTAGTTATTTACCGATGTTGGAGTTCAATCATGATGCCCTTTTCTTTTTACTGGTCTGATGGATTTTTTTTTGCTTGTTGAGTACAGGGCAAAACATAAGAAAGCTGGTAAAGGACGGTTTCATCATCAGGAAACCAACCAAGATTCACTCGCGATCTCGCGCACGCCGAATGAAGGAGGCCAAGAGAAAGGGTCGTCACTCTGGATATGGTATTGCACTTTATCTATGAGAAAAACTTAAATTTCAGTTGCTGTTTTATTATGAACTCAGTAACCTCGTTGGTGTTGAGAGTATTTTGAACTCAGTGACCTTGGTGGTGGTGTGTCAAACATAGAGGCTAGGCAGTTTGTTTTAAAATGTATGTGAAGCTTCAAACGGATAAAATCATATCTATATAATAGAACAAATAGTCCTGCTCTAGAAGCATAGACACGATATGACACAGACACGACAAATTTCAAAAAAGAAGGGCACATACACGTTGGAGACAAGTTATAAATAATTGTGTTTTATATATAAAATTATATAATTTATTATAAATATAGTGATAGTGATATATTATTCATAAAAAATTCAGCATTTTATGATAAGTAAATGTTACTTCTAGTCATTTAGTGTGAATATTTACACTAACATCAAAATAATACATAATTATCAATTTTTTCTTAGACGTGTATTATACATATATACTTTAAATGATTATTCCTTTCTAAATCTTTTATGTATTTTTTGAGTACAACTTTAACATGTCTCGTCTTGATAATTATATGTCCTCTCATAGGATAAAATACTTGATAGTCAAATTTTTAAGTTTGTTAATCTCATGTCAACACATGCTTATTATTTAGTAGTAGACACGATTTAAAAAAGTATGGGACACGTCACCAAAGAAGTGTGGGACATGTCTCCAAAGAAGTTTAGGATACGTCACCAAATAAGTGTCGGACATGTGTCTGAAATTAAGATTTTATCATTTAACTATGGACACGAATAAAAGAGTATCAAACACGTGTCCGATAGTATACAAGGAGTGTCGGTGTCGAGCACGTAACCTTCTTGAGAGTGCTTAATAGGTCTTGCTTACACAAAACACTACAACGATTTAGATTGTTTAGATCCGACGGCTTATAGTACTACTTAAATTTAAACCTTTTAATCACAGTAACTCAATCAATATATTAAAAAGAAGCGTGAAAAGCATGGGGATATCTCTAGTGTATTTATAGAGTAAGAATACCAATTCTTCTTCTTTCTATTTGAAGTTTTATTTCAGTGTAATACATGTATGAATAGTTTATCCTTGCTATATATTTTCACAAGTAGTATAGCTGGAAATTCGCTGAAATATGGAAAACCTAAATGCTGCAACTATTGCCCCAAGAAGCCTATATCTTCATCGGATTCTCACTATCGTGGTTGAAAGGGGGCAAAAGCCTGGATTTTAATACTTTTTCCTGAAATGATTTCAGGTAAACGCAAGGGTACAAGGGAGGCAAGGTTGCCTACAAAAATCCTTTGGATGAGGAGAATGAGGGTCCTCAGGCGCTTGCTTCGCAAGTATAGGGAATCGAAAAAGATTGACAAGCACATGTATCATGACATGTACATGAGGGTGAAGGGTAATGTTTTCAAGAACAAACGTGTGCTGATGGAGAGCATCCACAAATCGAAGGCCGAGAAGGCTAGAGAGAAGACTTTGTCTGACCAATTCGAAGCTAAACGTGCAAAGAACAAGGCAAGCAGGGAAAGAAAGAATGCCAGAAGGGAGGAACGTTTGGCACAGGTAAGATTTGTAAAGACTCATTGGGGCCTATCATTTTGAAGTCTAATGATGGAAACTCTGCCTAGAATAGGACGCTGAGAGCATGACATAGACAAGTAATTGGTGGCCTTTGGGAGACAGACATAAGGACGAAAACATTCAACAACACCTCCACCCCCTCCTTATGCAGACACACTTGCAATGGGCCCACCCCCAGCCCCACCCCCTCTATTAAGAATTGTTTTGGCATAGTTTACCTGGAGACCTCTGTCTTTTTTGCCGAGTAAGGCTTGTCTTTCTCTGTGATCAAGATGTCACTGGTGGCGGCAATGTGCATTTTTTAATTTATGTTCATATGGCAATATGATTGGTATCTGTTGCTGAGAAATGTCTTCCATGTGAATACATGCGCTATCCATTGCCCCTTTTGTCTCAACTAACCTTTTAGCACAATATTTGAGTATCTTTATATGCAATATAAATTGGCCTTTCAATAATTCTTTTAAATATAGCATAAGTCAAAAATTGGAGGCTCATATACACATCTTGCTTGTTTTTTGGGTAGTACACATGCTGTGTGTTATTGCCTTGTGAAGCCCCAAATTTTCAAAACCTTGAGAGCTTTTGTGTATACTGTTTGAAGCTAGAGTTTTTGGTTAGTTAATGTGCACAATATTGTATATTTTACTTGAGATCTTAACCTAGTTCTTTCTCTGTTCCTTTCTTTTGGACCATACTCAGGGACCAGGAGAGAAACTGCCGCCCCCAGCTGCAGCACCTGCAGCCCAACCAACTCAGTAAGTAATTCACTAGTGCGTTGTTAATATTTGGATCAGGTTGTTTAGGTGATTTAGCAACATTTATTCTATGTACAGGAAGAAATCAAAGAAGTGAGGCCTTCAATGGCAAGCATCAAGGATTAATGACTCCATCTCATCTTTGTGTCTCGTTAGTATTCCAGTCTAGCTGTTTTTTTGACCCTGCGTCTTGTTTTTGGTATTTTCTTATTATAAAACAATGTTACATGTGTCTAGATGAATTGTGGATTATAATCTTATTTCTATGTTCAAATTCTAGACTATTATGTTTAATTTTGGCTGTTTTCATTTTAATGATTTGTGCTTTTTTGATGAGCACACTTTTTTTGTTTAATTTTGGCAATGGTGGGATGTTTATTCTTGATTTTCCTTGTGTTTGTGGGGAATTCACCATTCCTCAATGAGACTACTTTTCTAATCAAGAAGCCTCATTGACTCGTGATAAGAGAAGAAATGGGAGGCGTGAACAATGACAATGCTCAGCGAGCAATAAAAGAAGAATAAGAAAGCTCTGGGCAATCAGGGCCTTGGTAATGCTCTTTAAAGGCATTCTCGGGGATCACTGGCAATTTCGTTTGAGTTGATGGGCCACAAACATCAAATCTTACAATCCAATTCAGGAAGGACAAAAAAAGGAATTGTACCATCCAATTTTATCATGGAGAAGGTGTGTCACCAGTTTTTAGAATATCACGTCATATTTAAGGAATATAGCCTTTATCGGTTGGATATTTTCTCTCAAAATCCTAATAATCTAGGAGATTACCTTACTTGAGGAACATATTACCCTAGTTTATAAATAGGCAAAACTTGTCACGTCTAGATGATGAACAATTGTATTCATGCAAAGCAGTAATTTTTTTTCTTTCCAAGCAATACGAACCAGAGGAGAAAGAGACTTTTTGCACCATTAGTTTGTCATCGTTTGTGGGAACGATTGTCATCGCTCTACTCTGGAATTACCTAACCTCTGTTTGATTGATGGTTTGAATGAGAAATATGAATCACGGGCTCAAGCTCCTCCAGTTCCACCAATGAATTTGCCTCTGGAGGAAGGGCTAGAGACCTATTAAGAAACTATGCTTCGCTTTCTCAGGCAAAATCAAGAAATTATTGACCTTCTCACTGCCCAACAACCTCCAAATCCTCAGTCTTCCTCTTCCTCCATAGCCTCTAAATGGGGTTATTGAAGAGGACCATCGGAGCTATTCTGACAAAAATGTTTGCCAACGTCAAGCTCAAATAGAGCGTGAATGCGAGGCACATAACAGGGCTGGGGGAGAGAGGAGGCACAACCCTCCACCTCTTCCTCTTCAAAACCCTTTGAACCAATATTGGTAAGATCGCATCAGGGAAGTCCAAAATGAATTGGGCAATGTGAGAAACATTGTGAAGAATCGAGATCCTGTTTCCATGGAGGCTTTAGTCCAGCAAACAAGTCCTCATTCACTCCAGAGATCCAGCACTTCTCTCTTCCAGTTAAATTCAAGATGTCCCAGATTGAGGCTTTTGATAGAATAAAGGATTCATTTGACCACCTCAACACTTACAAGAACCAAATAGAGCTTCATGGTTATCAGGACCCTCTTTGGTGCAAGGCCTTCGCAATCACTCTGAAAGACACAACACTAATCTGGGACAATAAGTTGCCACCATCTTTTTAAAGAGTTATCCATGCAATTTGTTTCTCATTTTATCAGTGCAGGGACCTATCTCAAACTGACCTTCTATCTCCTCAGCATCAAACAAAGACCAGACGAGTCACTAAGAAAGTACGCGCAACTATTCAACTAAAAATTCCTCTAGGTAGATCGTCTAGATGATAAAGTAGCCTTGACAACATTCATTGTTGGGCTTCATGCCTTTGAATTCCTTTTCTCAATCTTGAAAAATATGCATGCTAGCATGGTCGAGGTGTTGGCCAAAGTACAAAAATATATTAATGGAGAAGAAGTCCTCCGAGCTAGACACAACTCTTCAACTGTGCTAGAGCAGCACGGGGGCAGGAAAATAAAAGAGCCAAGTCTTGGGGAAAGTCAAGATCAATCTCCAAGAGAAAATAAAATGTTCGAGATCTATTGGGACCTCCCAAGCTAGAGTTCCAATCAAAGTTTGTGCCAGAAAGATATACACCACTAAACACCTCAGTGGCTCATGTCTTACACCAGGTTCAACATGAAAAATTCATCAAATGGCTAGTTGTAACCCCTTTAGCTCGTTGGCTCGGCATTGACATATGGCTGCCTCATCCAAAGGCACTCATATCTTAGCCAAATTGGGTTATGTTTAGTGAAGTAAACCTTTAGTGCAAAGTTAGTTTCCTAAGGACTTGGACGTTTACTTGGTTGAGTAACAATGTGATTCGGCAAAGGCTCAAGTGGCATACAACGATTATGCCTTTAGCTCAAGTTATTATGACTCCTCGACTCAGACTATGTCCATTGTTGTCAATGAGTTTTTGTTTACCAATGTTATTATAGGGTGTGCTCCACGAAAGGTGTACCGAACCAACCTCCCTAAGGACCCTTATGCCCCTAAGCCTTGACGTACCAAACCAAGGCATGGCCCCAACAAATGCTTGTCGTGGTGGAGGAAAGACATTCCAAAATCCAAGATCCGAGATTTGAGATGTGGGGTCGATGATCAGTAGGACCCGTCATTGGCAAAAGCCCTATGCATGGCTGAGGAAGACAGCGCATGCATGGGCACGACTAGTGGGTCAATTGAAGTCCCATGGCCGAGAAAGGCAGCTCATGCGTGGGCACAAGCAAAGAAGCAAGCAAGGCTAGCCAATGGGCTTGATTTGTGGGGTATTGCTAACTTGAAAGACCAATCCATGGGTTGGGTATGGCTTGGTATGATCATGGTTGGTGCAAACGTTGTTGAATTACATGAGCTTGTGACCCATCTAGAGGATTTTCTGGGTGCCCATACTGGTGATGCTGAAACTAGTGTCTTTGCAAATGGAGCAACATGCTGCTAAGATCATAGGCTTAAGAATGACCTTCGACAGCTACGTGATAGACACCGACGCTAAGATTACGACAATGATGGAGGACGTTTTGTCCCTCATTGATGTTATCAAGACCAATCTAAAGAATCTTGAAGACAAATTGACCCTAGTGAAAAGGGTCATGCATTCTCGAACTAGTGTGGGTGAGACGTCTTCAAAGATCAAGGTCCCTGAACCTAAGGCTTTCAGAGGGACCCAGAGTACCAAGAAACTAGAGAACTTTCTATAGGACATAGAGTAGTACTTCAAAGGTGCCTATGTGCCTACGGGAGAAAAATTGACCATAACCAGCATGTACCTCTTTGGTGATGTCAAGCTTTGGTGGCGGACCTGAAATGAGGATGAAGCTGCAACGGGGCAAGCCAAAATTGAGACATGGGATATGTTAAAGAAGAAGTTAATGGATCAATTCCTTCCTAGCAACACGATGTGGATTGCTAGGGAGTCACTCAAGAAACTTAAGCACACGGGAACCATTCGTGACTATGTGACAGAGTTTAGTTCTTTGATGCTGGATATCAAGAACATGTTCGTGGAATACTAACTCTTCAATTTTATGTTTGGTTTGCAAGACGGGGCACAGGCTGAACTACTTAGGCAGTGGGTGCGCGATTTACACACTGTCATCACTACTATGGATGACCTGGTACACTTTAAAACGGGCAACAATCAAGGCCCTTTCAAAAAGAAAAGAAGGGAAGGTGGCGGCAAGAAAGACCAGAATAGCATTTCCAAAGACGTAGATGAGGCGAATTGGAAGAAAAAGATGAACGGATGTGACTCTAAAAGGCCAAACAACAACCAAAAGAAGAAAAGCTTCGATTCTAGTTACTTCATTTGCAGCAGCCCTTATCGTGCCAGAGACTGACCCAAGCGGGAGAAGTTAACTAACTTTGTCGCTGAAAGTGGAGATGACAACGACGATGCATACCACACTAGGTTAATCCTCTGCAATTGTTGGACACAATCTTTATGGGAAAGGTTCAGCAACCCCACAAAGGCCTAATGTTTGTGCAGGCCTGGGTGAACGGGAAAAAAGTTTTGGCCATGATGGATACGAGTGTCATCCATAATTTCATTGTGCAGAGGAAAGTGGGAACGTTTGGCCTGCAGTTGGCAAAGAATTTTAGCAAGCTTAAGGCTGTCAATTCGGGAGCAATTTCAGTGCATGGCAACGCAAAGACATGCTTGAAAGTGGGTATATGGAAAGGTCTGGTCAACATGACGGCTATACCTTTGGATGGCTTTGATGTCATCCTCGAGAACGAGTTCTTCATAAAAGCCAAAGTGGTGTTGATACCACATTTAAATGGGATGCTGATCTCAAATGAGGGAGCAACATGCTTTGTACCTGCAGAGGTGTCAAACCAAAGCAAAAGAGATGCAAGCGAAAAATGGAGATGTTGTCTGCTATGTAGGTGAATTCTAGGTTGTGGGAAAGGAAGAACACATATCTCGCAGCCTTGGTGGGGAACAAACTTGATGAGAAGATTGAAATGGCTGGTTCGATGATAGAAGTTTTGAAGGATTGTGTTGAGATTATGCCTCCAAAACTCTACAAGACCCTTCTAACCAAATGTGGAGTTGACCACAAAACGAGTTGGAACATGGTGCAAAGCTTCTAGCCCGTGTTCCTTATCGGATGTTGGCCAAGGGACAACAACAATCACTTACTTATGGAGGAGTGGTGAAACAAAGGACTAGAGACGGATGTCCTGCTGCATACAGGGTTGTTTGGCAAGGTAAAGGACAACTTGGCTAAGGCTGTTATTCGAAAGAAGAAGAATGTTGATCTTGATCAGATCAAGGGTAATTGGGATAACCTCTCAACGAGGATGTCGAACTCTTCTGGTGGGGGTGGTTTCTTACCCCCTTAGCTCGTTGGCTCAGCATTGCCATGTGGCTGCCTCGCCCAAAGACGTCTATGCCTTAGCCAAATTAGGTTATGCTTGGTGAAGTAAACCCTTAGTGCAAAGTTGGCTTCCTTAGGGCTTGAACGTTTACTTGGTTGAGTAACAAAGTGATTTGGCAACGGCTCAAATCGCATGCAACAACTATGCCTTTGGCTCAAGTTATTATGACTCTTTGACTCAGAGTATGTCTGTTACTGTCAATAGGTTTTTGCTCACTAATGCTATTATAAGGGGGGATGCTCCGCGAAGGAGGTACCAAACCAGCCTCCCTAGGAACCCTTATGCCCCTAAGTCTTGGCACACCAAAGTGATGCATGACCCCAAAAAATGCTTGTCATGGGTGGAGGCAATACATTCCATAATCCGAGACTCTAGATGTGGGGTGGATGATCGGTGGGACCCGTCGTTGGCAG